ACAAAATGTCCTAAACTCCAGGCTCCACTTCCATGAGTTAAAATATAAGAGTCACATTTTAATATCCTTTTATCAATTCTTTGCTACCCGTGTGTTTTTCCTTTTAAAAATCAGCTATATAATTGCTGCCTTTCACCTCTGAAGTTGATACTAATGATGGGCAACACACTCCACATTTGCATCCATGCCTGGAAAGATCTCAGTGTGACTTATGTTCCTACCCACACAGCTCGCACATACAGCTTGGCTCTCTTAGTACTCTTTCCAATAGACTCTGTGCCCATAATGTAAAAGTTTCCATATTTCCTTTGACGTGAGACAGAGAAAGAGAGGGTGAGAGAACAGAGAGAGCACCAGTTGTTTGGAATCTTATAGACCTGAGAACCTTTGACTCACTGTCTGTGTGTCATACTGACTCAGTGCTGTGAGACTGGTGATATTCCAGGCATTTAGCTGTGGGACTCCTGTTTTGCCCTGGAATTTTGAAAATGATCCCAGGTAAGGCTGATGAAACAGCTGTGCCAGTGTAGCATGTTATCTGTAGCAAGTCCAAGTCTGGCATGTGTTTTTAAACAAGATCTGCAAGTTGCATTGTGAAAGGTAATATTTGAAAGTCAATGACATTTGAAAATACTTTAAAAATAGAAACATGTTATAAACGTGGGTATCTGTGATAATGGGCGTGGAGTTATACAAAATCCTCCAGTAAATAATAAAAATTCACACGTATTTAGGGAATCCCAGTTGAATAGAAGAAATAGAAATTACCGGATTAACATTTAACCAACATTCCAGACTTAGAGTAACTTTCTGACTTCGAGATAAGTTGCTGCTGAGAGAAGGGCCTCATTGAATTCCCTCATATTACAGTTGCCTACAAATGATTATTATGTTTCCTTATTTCAAAAGTAGGTCAGATCCCAGTATGCTTTGCTGCATTTAAATTCCAGTCATGAGACTGATATGAGAGAAACATAAAAGTGGCTTCTTCTTTTTCTGAAGGTTTACTTATCTGCATGGTCTTTTTTTTCCTACTTGCATTACAAAGCTAAATTAGTTTATGTGAATTATGAACAATCTATCTTTATTGCAGCTATCTTCAGCCACTTCATCTATGTTGCTAATCACCTACCATGAACATGCAAAGTACTCTTAACAGTACCAAAATATTTACGACATCTTATATTTCTAAAGTATTTCAAAGGACTATGTAGAAACACTAAAATAAAAACCTGCTGTATTTCACACAGCTGACAGTTTAAAATCAGATATAAGCCCTAGTGAAATCTTCTGCTTGATCTTCAAATTACAAATATCATTTGCATAGGAAGAGAAAAACTATATTTTCTCAATGGTTCACTCACAAGAATCCCTTAGACTATTGAATATTAATGCAATCTAGGCAGACACTTGGGCATTGCAGATGAAAGGGAATGTTTATACTAGTAATAGCGCTTATCCAAAACCATGACTGAGTAGAGAACAAGAATCTACATTTATGTACCACATAATGATGTTTTGGGTCAGCAATGGACTGCATATAGGATGATGGTCTCATAAGATTTTAATGGAGCTGAAAAGTTCCTATCGCCTAGTGACATCTTGGTCTTGACCATGTATAGGCCTAGTGTTTGTATCTCCATTTTTAACAACAAAAAAAAATGTTTAAAAAGAAAAATAAAATAAAAACAAACGCTTATAAGGATAGAACATATTTTTGTGGAGTTATACATTGTTTTATGCTGTTATTACTAAAAGCAAAAAGTTAAAAAATTGAAACTTTATAAAGTAAAAAAGTTACAGTAAGCTAAGACTAATTTATTGTTGAAGACAGAAGTTTTAAAAATAAATATAGTGTATCCTAAGTGTACAGTGTTTATAAAGTCTACAGTGGTGTAATATCCTTTGCCTTCATATTTACTTACCATTCACTCACTGACTTACCCAGAGCAACTTTCAGTTCTGCAAACCCTATCAATGGTAAGCGCCCTATACAAGTATACCATTAAAAAAAATCTTTTATTTAACATTTTTACGGTATCCTCTCTATGTCTACATATGTTTAATTCATGAATACTTACCATTGTGTCACTATTGCCTATAGTACTCAATATAGCAACACGCTGTACAGGTTTGTAGCCTAGAAGCAATAGATTATGCCATATAGCCTAGGTTTGTAGTAGGCTATACCATCAAGTTTTGTGTAAGTATACTCTATGATGTTTAGACAATGAGGAAATTGTCTAAGGCACATTGTTAAGCAATGCATGACTGTAATTACTTGTGGTTGAGAATTGGGAAGCTGTTTTTCAAGCACAAGTAAATAAAGGTCATCATTCCTTTTAGACTTTAAATTACAGCTGGATTTTGAACTCCTTAAGAAGCAGTTTGGTTTTCAATCCATTACTCTTCTAATGGTATTAACACTTTCTCAATATTTCTCATTGAAGATAGAAGCAACACAAATGAATTCATAGTATGTATAGGCACTCATATATCTTTTTTTTTAACTTTTAAGTTCAGGGGTACAAGTGCAGGTTTCTTACATAAGTAAATGTGTCATGGGGGTTTGTTGTACAGCTTATTTCATCATATATGTATTAAACCTAGTACCTATTAGTGATTTCTCCTGATCCTCTCTTTCCTGTCAACATCCACCCTTTGAAAGGCCCCAGTGTGTGTTGTTCCCCTATAGTTCCCCTATATGTGTCCACGTGTTCTCATCATTTAGCTCCCACTTGTAAGTGAGAACAGGCAGTATTTAGTTTTCAGTTTCTGTGTTAGTATGCTAAGGATAATGGCTTCCAAGATGCGTTTTGAAAAGCTATTGATCTCATATTCTAAGTTGATGTCCCAAAGCAAGCTTGTCCAACCTGCAGCCCATGGGCCGCATGCAGCCCAGGAAGACTTTGAATGCAGCCCCACACAAATTTGTAACTTTGTTAAAACAATATGAGATTTTTTGCAATTTTTTTTTTAGCTCAGCAGCTATCATTAGTATATTTTATCTGCAGTACAAGACAATTCTTTTTCCAGTGTGCCCAGAGAAGCCAAAAGATTGGACACTCCTGCAGCCTAAAGAAAAAAAATTAGTCCCCAGATATTACAGTCCTCAGGAATTTCTGTCTACAATGGAACATTTATATTTATAAGATAAAAGTTAAACTCTGCTGGGAACATGGGAGAATACTCTAGACTTTACTTATATCTTAATGGTTTAATTTAAATAGGTTATTTGAAAGGTGTTTTTAAATTATTTTAATATGTTCAGTATGTAATTTTGCATTCATTTACTTATCTTTCAATAATATGTTCTTTCACTAAAAGTATATTTTTCACATAATAGTCAATATTTTCTAGAATGGTTAATGATTTATTGAAATTTAAATGGAGGTGATCTCAGAAGCAGATTATGTGTATGAGTAAGACAGTATGCGTGTGTGTGTGAGTGTGTGTGTGTATATGTGTGTGTTTTAATCCACTTAGGTTCTCCAGAATCGCTCTTGCTTATGAAGCAGTGCTCATGGTGTCTCCTGAACACTTGTTACATCGTTTCTCCAAGATAGAGTGGTACTTGTGAATCACTTAGATAAAAACGAGGTATACACACACAAAAAAAACTCTAGAAAAGTGACCTTACACTCACCAGACCCACCATATTTTTCACTGGGTCTTTATTTTCTTCAGGAAGAAGAGAAATGCTGGAGAGACTTGGACTACACTTTTCTATTTTAGCCCATAGACGCAATGTCTTGAAGTTTCTTTCCTGTTTTTCTCATGGCATTAAACTCTTAGATTTTTAAATAACAAGTGAATGCGCTCTGTAGGAACTCTAAGGATGTAGGCGTAAAGGAGAGGTAACAATCTCCTTCCTTCTCTAACCCTATATCTGCCTTTCTTCCACACCGTTCACATTCACCTCAAATATCCAGCGTATGCAAGTCAGTGTGGAAAACACTCTTCCTAACATCATTTTTTGCACAAACACTATATATACATATTTATATACAATACATACATGCCTGTATGTGTCTATATATTTGTATTGTAAATATTTATTTTCTCTATAGTATGATGTTTTGAGCTTTTAAAAAAAAAAAACTTTTCTGGCTGAAGACAGACTGCCCCACAAGGGCTAGCTAATTCTTCAAGACCACAAAGGGTCCAGCCAGGAGCATGACTTTGATAAACAAACTGACCAATTAGGGCCATGTTACCTCTATGTTGTCCAACCACCCAAGGATACAATCTTCCTCTACTTTAATTATTCAGAACCAGGTGCCAAGCAACTTGAGATCACCCCTCTAGTCAAAATCCCCCAAACTTTTTGCAATTAGTCAATCCTGAACTGTTCACCCTGCCCGCTTTGCCTTTACCATGCAAACCTCAATAAAGGCAGTGGCCTGAACCTTCCTGTTGTTCCTGTCTTCTTGCACCTGACTACCCTGGTGTCTTTCCCATGCACCTCTGGGTGGTGTGCAGTGCCTCCTGTCTGCAGGACCTATGAACGTAAAAAACTGGTTTTTTTTCCCCCGACCCTCCTTTCCTGGCCATAATTGACTGACCATGTCATAAAATAATACAAAATATAGGTTTATACATAAATATATACAGATACCTGTACATACACACAGATAATTATTTTTTTAAAATTAAATAATATTTAAACTCTACACTCCAGTTTTTTTTACTTTTTTTTTTTTTTTTTTTTTTTTTTGAACATCTCATGCTTTGCCAGCTAGTCAGTGCCGATCTCGGCTCACTCAAGCTCCCTCCCTTCCCGCCATTCTCCTGCCTCCTGAGTACTGGATACACGCCCCACCGGCTAATTTTTTATTTTAGTAAGACGGGTTTCACTTGTCTCGACTCCTGACTTTGATCGCCACCTCGCTCCAAGTGTTACAGCTTGACCCGCGCCCCCAGTTTGTTTTTCTGAATATGTATCATGCATAGTCATCCATATCAATTCATCTTTTTAATGGTTGTGTATTATTCCACAGTGTCCATGGAATATGAATATCATTCTGGATACCTTCTGCTTGACTACCCAGATCTGCTTGCCACTCACCTCTATGCTGCTCTTCAGGAGGCAAACTCCCGTGGTTTCCCTTGTCCTCTGGTTGGGTTGACTAATAGACAGGAGATTAACAAGAGAAGAAAAAGTTGAGGGCAGCTTATTTATTCCCTGACTGCCTTTGTGCAAGTCAGACTCATCTTGACTGTTTTTCAACTGAGCACCACTTCTCTTCTCAAGGAGGTCTTTCTCTATTTCCTTCCTTCCTTCCTTCCTTCCTTCCTTCCTTCCTTCCTTCCTTCCTTCCTTCCTTCCTTCCTTCCTTCCTTCCTTCCTTCCTTCCTTCCTTCCTTCCTTCCTCTCTCTCTTTCTTTCTTTCTTCTTCTTCTTTTTTTTTTTTAACAGAGTCTCGCTCAGTCACCCAGGTGGAGTCCAGTGGCGTGATCTTGCTTCACTGAAACCTCCAACTCCTGGGTTCAAGCGATTCTCCTGCCTCAGTCTACCGAGTAGCGCACCACAACCCCGGGTTAATTGTTGTAATTTTGCTAGAAACAAGTTTTTGCCATGTTGGCCAGGCTGGTCTCGAATTCCTGACCTCAGGTGATCCACCCACTTCAGCCTCTCAAAGTCCTGGGATTACAGGTGTGAGCCACTGCACCCGGGCCCTTTCCTCTACTTTCTTCTTCTGAACTTTGCACAGGTTCCTCTTTTTGGAATTAGGGAAGGTAGCAACTCCAATGCTACTAAACTTTGGTCATTGAAGTAGCACTTATGGTTTCCCTACATACTAATTATACTTTTAAAATACTTCCCTTATGGATAATGATCATGACTTCTCTGTTCCCTTTGACTCTGGCTGATAAAATTATTCAGTGTTACCATGCTACTGAATATTCACTTTACTTTCAGTATTTTTGTTGAAGTTAACGTCTTCTACCTATATTCTTATGTACTGTGCTTTTATTGCTGTAAAGTATTGGCCAAAAGTAGCAATGTTCATTCAAAAGTTAACTTTTAATATTTATAGGTATTTCCAGATAACTTTCTATAAGGTTTGAAACAATTCACACTTTCACTAGCAGTTTAATTATTTAATTATTTGATTGACTTTTAACAAGCAATTTGAAATTCTTACCATATGCCAGAGACTCTATAAAGGGTTTTAAGAATATTAACATAATCTAGTATATAAAGTTTCCCATTTCCATATATCTTTACCATATGTTTGTAAAGTGGTGTCTCATTTAAATTTGTATTTAGTTGGCTATTACTGAGGCTAAATATGTATTTACTTATTATCTATCTATCTATCTATCTATCTATCTATCTATCATCTATCTTCTACCCTCTATCTTGTCTAAATATATTTCCTTGTCAATGAATTGTCTATTCATATTTTTGCCATTCTATTGTATGTGTACATTAGTGAGACAAGTTAGATTGAGAGGCATTTGGATGGGTGGTTGTAATCCAATACATTTAATAGCTTTTAAAATACATCACAATTTTCAAATTAAATAATTCTGTAAAGACAACAAGAAATCATATGTAATCAATTAATCATATGAATCATGTTATTAATTAATCATATTAATCATATGTTATATATGCTTCTATGATCCACAGCCAGTACTTATACAATGGTGTGTGGTCAAAAGGAATGCTTTGCATTTCACTGACAGAATCAGAGACATATGTAGATTGGTGAACTGCCAAAAATAATGCATTTTACTAAGGTGTCGTTTGTAAAGTAACATTATGGTTTATAGGTTGTAAAGTAACATTATGGTTTATAGGTTTCTAAAATGTATAAATGTGGCTCAATCATACATGCAAAGGCCTTGGAAAAATTGAGTTTACAGATGAAGAAACTGGGTTTCCTAGCAACACAGCTGGCTAGTAGCATTGAAGTGGGAAGAATCTAAGATTAACAAAGTAGATCTTAATGCTTTGGCTTTTCTTATTCCTAAAACGGGGAAAATAGTACATCAGGGTTGGGTTGACTAAGTGAGACGATGGGTGTTTTAGTGTGAAAAACCCAAACCCCTATATAAGACAATGCTTTAGGGAAAAACTGGATCTAGAACCCAGTTGCTCTGGCTTGTCTGTCTCATACACTTTGTGCTGACTGCCCTCCAAGAAATTCTGGCCATAGGCATTTTGTAGATCCTGAATAACTTAGGCAAAGGCATGCCAAAAAATTCTTCAGTTAGTCTTTAGTATCCAGGAACCTAGAAATCCTCAGTAATATATATGTAACATTTTTTTAAACTCAGGGTTCAGCAACAGAGGTAATAGTCAAAACAAACATCAAATATTTTCAGTTAAAAGGTGCCAGATGAGAGATAACTCCTTTCAGTAGGAAAACTCAAGTCAGTGTGTTTGCTCATGCATCAAGCACGTTGCGTTTTTCCCCACCATCACCCTGCTATCCCACCTAAAGCACTTAGATGAAAAAAGAAATGCAAAATCTCCAACCTTGCTAAGAATAAGTTGTGATAAGCAAGTATGGATGATTATAAGTGTGGATAATGCAAGGCCACATAATGAACTGTGTCTAATGATAGATTCAAAAAGCTGATCCCAATAACAAATTTGTTTTTAATGAGAATTCAGGGAAATGCTATTATTTTCAAACCATTAAACTATACAGTAGTTAACTTTTTATTATATATGTAGTCTACTCTATAGATTTGTTTGGTTTTTTATTTAAAAATCTATGGTATGCATTTTTCTACCGTAATTTCTGAGGACTGAAGTTTGCAAATTAATCATCTGTACAGTTCAATTAGGCAGAAGAATTATCATCTTAGCTATGTCAAATAAAAATGCATTTTAAGGTAAAACATTAGCAGTAAGTATATTCTATCCAAGGCCTGAAGGATATTTATTTCATTTACTATTTTTACCTAAAAAAAATCTGTATTAGTTCCAGTTTTGAATAAGATGAAGTAAGCATACTCCTACCAAATGCACCTAAAACTTCTGTATAGAATGCATGAAGAAGCTGTCTGAGGACTCAAAAATAAATGGGAGAAGGTGGAACTGGAGAAAAGTGCCAGAGTTTGATATAGCAACAAAATGGATATTTCTTATTTTATTTTATATTTTCCACTAGTTCCAAGGCTGGGCTCAAAGGAAGCTTAAGACCCATGCTTACTACATGCATTCAGAAAAGGTGCCACAGAAAAGTCTCTGTTTCTTATTTGAGGAGTGGGAAAGAAATTCCTAACAGGTAGGAGAGAGTCAAATAAATATCTGTACTTTCATTTCATCCATTCTCTCCTCTTCCAGTCCCAGGCAGTAGAGGAAGCAATGGCATCAACATTCAGACAGGTAACCACAACTGTAAGGGAGGTGAGCCCTTCTCTCTGTCCAGAGGAACTTTGGTCCCAAGGGTGTGGAAAGAATCACAAAATCTCAATTCATATTCTCTCTCTCTCTCTCTCTCTCTCTCTCTCTCTCTCTCTTTCTCTTTCTCTTTCTCTCCCTCCCTCCCCATCCTTTTATTGGTTGTCCTCTAAGGCAGCCATAGTCATTCCAAGTATGCAACAGAGTGGGGAAAATAAAACTCTGGCTTTCTTGGCAGAGGGCTGGAAAGCATGGATCTTGTGAAGTGAAAAGTTTCACAGAAGTGGTAAAGAAGATAAATAATACACGACATGAAGCGGGCTTATCCTAGGAATGCAAGGCTGGTTTAATATTCAAATATTAATTAAAAAACAAAGTAGAAAGCAGATGATGTTAACTGATACAAAAATTTTTGATAAAATTCAACCTCTATTAAGGAGCAAAACTCTCAGTCAACTAAGAATACCAGTGAACATGTTTTAATTGATAACAATAATCTACATGAAAACCCCAACAGGTATCATCAGGCTTAATGAGAAAAGATGTTTTTTTTTCTCATAAGATTGGGAACATGGCCAGGATTAAGTCCTTGCCACTTTTCTAACTATTCCTATCCCACATTGTAGTATATATTCCAGACATTGTAATAAGGGGAGTAAAAAATATATACAAAAATTCATTGGAAAGAAAGAATAACATTGTTTCCATTTGCAAATAAAAATTGCCTATGGAGAGCTTAGCAAGTCCTAGGATATGAGGTCATCATAGGAAAACTCAGTCACATTTCCATTTACTAGTAATGAACAATTAGAAACTTTTTTTTAATGTCAATTACAATGGCTCCAAAAGGTTTACAAATATGCATATTTTAAAACAGAATCTGTATACTGAAAATGACAAAATGCTAATGAAAGAATTTAAAGATGATATATGTAATACACACAGATTGGAAGACTCAGTCTACTTAAGATGTCAATTCTCCCCAAATTAATCTGTGTTATCATACAAATCTCAAAAGGATTTTTTCATTCAGAGAAAAGAATATTCCAAAATTTATAGAAAATGTTGAAATAGCTAGAATAGTCAAAAGTTTTGAAAAAGGGGAATTTGGAGCACTCACACTAATTTAAGACATTATAAGGCTTTAGTATTTAGGATGTAATATGGACAATCAAAAAATAATAATAATGTTTCCAGAAAAGAATCTTTCCTCCAAAAAAGCATGACAAACTAATTTTGGCAAAGGCACACAGGCAATTCAATAGAGCAAAAACAGTCTTACCATTTGTTTCAATGAACAAATGGTATTGAAACAATTAGACATCCATTTATAAAGAAAAAATGAACCTCAACCTCACACCTTATAGAAAAATTAACTCAAAATAGACCAAATAACAAAATACAAATTGTAAAAACTATAAAACTTCCTGATAAAAAGAAAATTTTTATAACCACGTGTTAGGGAAGAAGTTATTAGATATGACACCAAAAGCATGATTGGTTAAAGAAAAATATTGATAAATTAGGATTTCATCAATATTAGATAAACTTTTTTCATGTGAAGGAAATTATTAATAAACTGAGAAGTCACATAGGAGAAAGTACTGTAATTCATAAGAAGTCTCAAAATTCAGCAATAATAAAACAACTAATGCAATTAAAAAACAGGCAAAATATCTGAACAGACACTTTACCAGAGAATATATACATATAGATAATAAGCATATGAAAAAACTTAACATTAGCCATTTGAGAAACGCAAATCAAAGCCACAATGAGATATCACTACAAGGCTATAAGAATGACTAAAACCGTTAATGACAACAACAACAACAACAAAAAGAAAACCTAACAATACCAAAAGTTGGCAAGGATGTGGAGCAACTAGAACTCTCATGCACTGCCAGTGGGAGTGCAA